TTCCTTTGGCTTGCTTGTGGCCCAAATTTGGCAAACAGGAGCGGACTGCCCAAGTGCCATCATTCTTCACAGTATGTGGGCTGGAGTAAGATGTTGGATCTGGGCCAGAATTAAAATCGATGTGGCCCAGATTTGGGCCAGTTCTGCTTTATTTGGTTTATTCATGGCTGACATTGGGCCTTCTTTTGGCTTGCTCGTGGCCCAAATCTGGCAAACAGAGTGCATCAGAATTCTGAGTATTGCATCAGAAACGAGTGATGGAAATGCCAAATTTCGGGGAAAAAAAACCCTTAATTCACAAAAAAAGTTTTTACGCTGGCTTGAGGTGGTTTTTGATTTGTGTGAAAAAGGTTAACGTGAATAATGGGGGATGGAACACATTTGCAGAATAAATTCCTCATTGCGCATCACAAAAGTCATCATTGTAATAACATTTAAAAATAGCTTTTTTCAAAGTTCAGCACTGTTTTGTACTGATGTATAAAGTAGCAAGAGTTTTCAAAATCCGGATCGGATCTACATAACAGAAATGATGATTGTTGGATAAAGGTGGCTAGATTTCATCCCTGTATTAACAATCTCCTCAGTTTCTCTCGAATGCAAATCATCCATTTTTTAGTGATAAATAGAAATGAACCGATATTAGCTTTAGGCTGCAATGTTAAATGTTGATTGACTTAATGACTTACAATGAAAAAAAAGAGACAGGTTAGGCTAACCAATCCTTGTTTGTTCACTTGGACTTTGCTGTTTTCATTTTAATGCATTGTTTTTTATTTTCCCTTTGTCTTTTTCTGTTCTGCGCCCAAGAGTGTTTTCCTCTTCTATTAATTTTTGTGTTTATATGTACTCACTTGATAATAAAATACATTTTTGAACTCATTTATAATGCTAGACGGAAGTTAAATAGAACATTTGCTTTTATTATTTTTTTTACAAATAAACTTTTGGTTATTTATAACAAGTTATTAATTATTTTCACTGAATGATTTTGGGAAAAATCAAAAGTATTTGTCAAAACTTATCTTTTCCTGTTCCATGAAAATCTGTCATATGGGTGAATTATTTCTTTGAGTTTGAGACTGAGGCCTTGTTTATGAGGTCTGGTGAGATCTCAAGACCAAGATTACAAGATCAAGACCATGTTTTGTAATAAAGACATCTTACTGTGTGAAATCATAACAGTGGAAAGAGACTGGTGCTGTGAGCATCTGTTTATTACACAAATAAGAACTTGCATGAAAACACATCGATAACATCATGATAGCGAGATAAACGTTGAGTATAAATATATAGCTTTGAACTACGTGAGTCCCTCTTTACGTTATGACCTGTGGAGTGGAAAACATAGAGTAAGACAAGAGTGAAAAACAAGTGCTGGCATCACACTGGCCGATTTTCAGAGGCAAGCTTCATTTACACAACCAGTCGTTGGAGAATCAGGTGGTTTCATCCATTCTAATTCATCAAAATCCAGCCAGTTTTGAATCAGCTAGTGAGACGCAAAGGACAGAAAACAAGACATGAAGAACATCCACTCAGTGATGATGAAAAGTTCAATAGTTCTAGTCACTTCATAGCTGATGTCTGCACGACGATTCTAATACTTCATGGTTTTTCTGGCTTCAAACCAGTCTGAGATGAGCTCTCTGTAACACTGAGATGATAGCAGTTTCACAATGGTTCCTTTGATGCATCATACTGTCGTCTCAGATACGGGCCCCTGCGCTGAAGGTTTGGTTGGAGCAGGTGGTGGGAAGGTGGGCTTCTTAAACACTGTTGAGAAGCAGCACTGCTGCTGTGTTTGAGGTCACAGTGAATGGATGAGCGTCTGTGTCGTCATCGAGAGATAAACTGCGCAGGCTCTTCTCCAGGCGGGAGCTTTTCTGACTGCTGATGTTGTTTGAAGGTTCAGGTTTAACTTCTGCTCCTTCTGCCCTCTCACCTGTTAGAGAACACAAAAAACACAAATGTTTTTCATTTGAATTGCTCTGGATTCCAATTTAATGGTTTTATCAAATTTGATCAAGTTTTATCAAACTCAAAAGCATGTCTAATCAATTGAATTTATAAATAACAATTTTCTAATTTAATTAAATTTGGACATTAATTGTTTTTTTTCCCCAAAAAAAATTCTGAGTTGTCCGTTTAAATTTTTCTGGATTTCCTTATGATTTAACACAAATTTATCATCAAAAACCGTGGTTATCATATGAATGCATAAAGCTTTAAAAATGTAATTAATTCTTTCAAATGTATTAAAATTATTACACACAGTATGCGTGGCATAATGTTGATTACCACAAAAAAACTAAAACAAAAAAAAACTACTCTTTCCTGTCATTTTCTGAAAAAAGGGTTATGGAGCACTTCTAATGGAAATTAATTTTATTAAACATTTGTGTATTACTTCATCTGTTTTACAGTTAGGGTTTGCCGTATATTGTTATGTCAACAAAGTTGTAAAATTACAAAAAAAAATACATTTACGAGTACATTTTTAAAGTTTTTAAAGGCAAAGTTATTTTAGTATCATACTATTACAGTTTTTATTAATATTTTGAATTAATTTTATTCTCATATTTTTCATATTTTATGTTTTCCATTTTCATTTTAGTTAAAGTTTTGTTGTGTTTTTGTCATTTTTAGTTTTTATATGCTAATATAGTTTTTGTTCATTTTAAAAGTATTCATTTTTAATTTTTATTTCAGTTTCAGATATTTTAGTAGTAACTCTAAAGGAAAATTACAAATGTTGCCTAATTAAAATAAATAGATAACATTTTATTCTCTTATTTCATTAAAGTTTATTTAGTTTTGGTTTAAATGAGCTATAATATCTTTACACATCAGCCCCAATTACTACCACTGTAAATTAATTTTTGTGGAAAATCAACATTATGCCACACATTCTGTCAATTGACCTTAATTTGAACCAAGAACACTCACAAGATACGAGTAAAATTAACACTCTTTTACACTCACAAGATATGAGTAAAATTAAGTAAAAAAAAAAAAAAAAGTTTGCTAGTTGGCCTGTAACTTTATTACTCCATACAGTTCTCATAGTTCAAGGTCTTTTGTCTCTCACCTCTTTCCTGTTCACAGTCGGGTGACGAGGCCCCGCTGCACTCACTACGAGGGCCCAGCACCGGAGACACCTGCTCAAAACCCTCCAGAGACCCCGAGCCTGGCAGCTGGAGCAGGTCAGGACAGACAGAGAGGGACGAGGAGGAGGAGGAAGAGGAAGGGTACGGGCAGGAGGAAGAGAGCAGAGGATAGGAGGAGGAGGAGGAGGAGGAAGGACAGGGCAGGTCGAGAGGAGCAGACGTGGAGCTCATGCTGCAGGTGGACTGGGTCTCAGGATCGTCCTCTGATGGCGAGCCGTTACAGCTGTCCTCGAAATTCACAGACATCACTGTACAACAAACACAGAATGCATTTAGTCTCCAACTTAACTTCATGCTGTTGAATGGAGACTGGAAACAATTCCTGTTGAAGACAGGTCAAGTCAAATCACATTAGTTTCTATAGAGCTTTAAACAGTAGATGCTGTTTCAAAGCAGCTTCACAGCATTAAACAAGAGAGTAACAGAATCAATGATGCAATGAGACAAATTCTGCTGTAAAGCAGCTCGAAAAAGACAACAGTTTTATTATTCAGCTCAATTTCAGTGTTTGTTCAGATTCGGTTCATTAACTGTAAAGTTGAACAATTATGAGTTCAGTATTAAAAAATATTGTAATATAAAATATTTTATCATACATAATATTTTTAATATATAAAATTACATTTTCTTTCTTTGATTTTGGGATGAACATGAAGCTGATAATGTTTTGCCTTTAATTCAAAGTAAAAAAATAGAATCTGTGATGCAAATTTGATCAAACATTAGACTAATTAAAATTCTGCTTCTAAAGTAGTTTCATAATTCAGCTCAAGTGAGATGAGTTTTGATTCAGATTTGGTTCAATAGCAGTGTAAAGTTAATTCATTATAAAAACAAGTTCATATCATTAATAGTACTGAATTAATTACATACTGATTTAATACATACAGTGGCCCTGAAAAAAATAAGCAAATAGCACAAATAGAATTGTGTTAGGTTTAATATGGGAAAATATGATATTTTGTTATCTGATGCATTAAAATTCATAGTTCATAATCACTTTTTTGTGCCACTGTATTAGCTCAAATGTTGTTTATGCCGTCTAAAACAGGCACAGTTGAAGCTAAATCAAACTGAGAGACTTTCACTCTGAATTACAATCAAATCTTGGCATTAATGTGTGATCTCACTTACTCGATATGCCGTCAGACTCCATTTTGAAGTTTTCGATGTCATCGGTGACAGTCCCGTCATCTTCGGCCCCCACCCCTCGGCCCCGGGGCCCCATGGCAGACAGTCGGCGCCGTGCATGGATCTCATCTGAGATGGTCTCCAGGTTACGAAGGGCGGTCCGATACTCGGCTTTGGCCTGGGTGAGTTTAGCCTGACGCTCGTCAACCCGTCGCTTCAGTTGCTGTATGGGAGGACAAGGAGAAGCGGAGAACAGGTCACAAATAATTATGATCAAAATCAGATCAAATCTACATGTTAGTTTGTGTTTCGAAAAAGAATATTCATGCATTACTAAAACCATCCAAAAACTCACATTTCTTCCTGATATTGAAAAAAAGAAAAAAAAAATTTTTTTGACTAAAGAAAATGAAGGCTACTTTAGGATAATTACGATGTTTTTACACTGTGACATTATTTTTATGACAAATTAGACCAATTTCTCCCCAAATGAATATGCCTGGATGTTTTATTTGTTTGTTTGTAATTACCCATGTTTAATGGTGTTTCTCCTGAGATTCTCATTAGTGTATTACATTAACAAAATATAAAATATATTAAAATATATAATAATAACAAAATATTTTTATATATTTAAATATACTTTTTAAAATATTTGTAAAGTATTATTTTTAATTATATTTAGACTTAATTGAAATATTTTTTTAAATAATAAAAAAAAAAAATTACTCATTACAAATTGTACGTAATGTGTCTGGATGGTTTGTTTATTTATTTGTTTGTTTATTTAGTAATTTCCATCATTTTTAAAGGTGATTCTCATTACTATATTACGTACTGTATTTTTTATAAAAATATATTAAAACATCATTTAATGTTTTCAAATATATTTAAATATACATTTAAAAATATTAATTTGTTTACATTTAATTGAAGTATTTAAAAAAAATAATATAAACATACTGTAATACAATGATTTATTTATAAACATCAACATAAATTCATTACCACAATAATGCATAAACCATTGCAATTTAACTAAATTCAGATTAAATAAAATACTATTTTATAAAATTATGTGTGTGTGTATATATATATATATATATATATATATTAAAATTAGCCTTCATTTTTATTCAGATAAAATATAATTTATTTTTTTCAGTTTGGTATGAATCATTCTTAGAATATTTTTTTGTACAAAATAAAAACTGGCGTACCTCGAGCTGTAGATAATACTTGGCCTTTAATTCAAAGTACGGCCTGCAGAGGGAGAGAAAGAGAAAGATCAGAGCAGAGTGAGTGTCAGAGCCAGTTTCCATGGCAACAGCAGGACCGGCACATTCCAGCAGCAGAAGCACATCTGGAACCCATTAGAGACGCGTCCCACTGAATTACACTTCCATCCACAACCCAAACACAGCAGAGCGGAGCAGAGGCCCGCGGAGGGGCCCACAAAACACTCGACTCTCATTTCCATCAGAGAGGAAACACTCTGTGGCTTTTCTGAAGGAAAAATCATTTTATTCCCAAATATTAACACGCTTGAAGTGAGTTCATGTGATGCAAACCCTGCAGAACATGTGCTTACAGAACTTGTTCCAGCAAGATTTTAGGGAGTCTTCGTTTTATGTCCATTACAACATGATTTATATGTATGATCATTATGTAAATGCCTCAGACACTTTGAGTTTTGCCCATTATATCATCATATTCAGTGTGGGGAGTTTTTAAATGTTTTGTAACAGTTTTGACATCAAGAGAGAGTGAAAAATATACGTTTATTTTAAATACACTACTGTTCAAAGGTTTGGGGTTGGTAAGATTTTTAATGTTTTGAAAGAAGTCTCTTCTGCTCACCAAGGCTGCATTTATTTATCAAAAATACATCAAAATTTGTGAAATATTTTTACTATTTTAAATAACTGTTTTCTATGTGAATATCTGTTAAAATGTAATTTATTCCTGTGATGTAAAGCTGAATTTTCAGCATCATTACTCCAGTCTTCAGTGTCCTTCAGAAATCATTCTAATATGCTGATTTGCTGCTCAAGAAACATTTCTGATTATTATCAATGTTGAAAACAGCTGTGCTTTTTTTTCACAAAAAAAAATTGAATAGAAAGTTCATAGAAAGTTAAAAAAAGAACAGCATTTATTTGAAATCGAAATCTCCTGTAACATTATGAATGACTTTACTGTCACTTTTAATCAGTTTAATGCATCCTTTCTGAATATAAACATTAATTAAAAAAAAATTATAATACCGACCCCAAACTTTTGAGCAGTAGTGTATGTATATCAAAAACACTGACTTGTGTCCTCTGACCTGGACTTGTTGATGGTGCGTTTGAGTTTTTTCTCCAGTTGTCTCATGTGGCTGATGGCGGCGTTGTATTTAGCTGCTGTTTCTCTGTGCTCGATTTCACTGCGTGTCCTGCTTTGCTCCGCCTCCATCACCTGGAACAGCCAATCAGAGCAATTCAGAGAAATTAACTGCATAGCATAATGCACAAAAGAACAGTGGCCTACACTAAAGGACCGTATGGCTTATGGTTTTATCAGTTGTGTTGTGACTCTCACCCTCTGGGTGGCATGGTTGAGCATCTCCTGCCAGGCCGAGTCAAACTGCCGGCTGTCCTCCTCCAGCAGACGCTCCTCGGCCAGAGCGATGGTTTCCTTCGCGGCCCGGAGGATCTCGATGGCCCGCTGATACTCCTGCGTGGCTCTCTGAGCTTCAACCTGAGCCTGAAAGACGAAAACTTCAGAGACTGAGGATGCTTTCACAGATTTGGTGAAGAACGAGCTGTTTGCTTTCCAAACTTTTGAAAGCAACTCGTAAAGCAACCCGGTGTTATCTGCAGACTAATACATGATGCATGTCTCAGCAGCTCATATTCTTCATCTCTTGCAGTGCATTGATGACAGTTGCAAGCGAGCACATGTTAAGACATTACATAAGTGATGATGATGCTTCCTTAGTGTTACCAGGATACAGCAGTAAACAGCTGCTGTCGATAATCACTCATTTGCTGCTCATATTAATGACGCAAATTTACCACATAAAGTGCCATGCACTACAGTGTGAGAAGTTCTGCTGGGAAGTTTCTACCAATGAAGAAAGAACGAGTGTTATTTAAGTGACTTTATATTTCTCAGCTACATGACTAAAATTGGTACATTTTTAAAATGAAAACTAAAAATCATAAAAAAAATCATTTTATTACTTGAAATAAAATAACATTAAAAGTAATGCTAGTTGCAAAGGCATCATTTCTCAAGTACTAAAATAACTAAAACGGATATAAAAATGAATAAGAACTACGTATACAGACAAAAAATACAAATAAATAAACTGAAATTCATTCATTTAAATTCATTTTAAAAATAGGTAAAATAGAAAATATAAAAATAACCACTAATTTAAAATATTAATAAAACTTAATTAAACTAACTAATTGGACCTTATTTTGTTTTCTTTTAATTTCCCTCAATGAAACATTATTAGTGCTGATGATGCAGCATATTTTTGGTTACTTAAAATAAAATAAAATATATTAAAAACTTAATTTATTGAAAAAAGAATAACTCAAAGTAAAACAGAAATAAAAGAAACTATAAGACATTTAAAAAAAATTATTAAAAATAACAAACACTCAACAAAATTACTAGAACTTTAACTAAAATTAAAATAAAAATGGAAAATATAAAAAAGCTAATTCAAAATTTCATAAAAACTATAATAATATATTAATGACACTACAATAACACCACAGTGATGTCACATTCCTCTGTCTCGTCTGAGACTGAAACAACATTAAATCCCTGTGATTCCTATCAGTGCTGACAGATTAGCCAGATTAGCATTAGCCGCTCAGGTTTAATTGGTCATGTGACCGCTGCAGTCTCTGTCTCTCTGCGGGACGAGCTTCTCATTTAGAGACGATCCCTCTTACATTATTCAAATCTATATTCTGCTAAGGAATTCATAAAGAAAGCTTGGACAAGAGGCTACTGTATATTTCATAAAGCTCAATCTCACCCCACTGTATCACTCACTTCATGAGGTATTTCTTAGTTATATCCTCTAAACTCAGCAACCTTCAGATTTTGAAGGAATGTTTAAGGTTCAGTGCAAATTAATCACAGATGCTATCTATAGAGTTAAGCACAAAACTATTTAAACTCAGATTATCAAACCAAACAAGAACTCTGTTTATAGTCAAGAACTTGAAATATTATTTCAAAGCAGCTTGTGCTTTTCTTTAGTGCTTGTAATTCTGTAAATTCAGTTGCACATGTATTATTAATATATTATTTGAGCTGTGAAGTTGTCAGAATTGTAATTTTGTCTTTTCTAGAATGATAAATGAGCATTTATAAGTATGCATTACTGTGTTTCCAAAACATCTCAACTTTGCTAAATCAAGATACATTAACTTGAGAAGCAAAAAGACTTCTTAAATTGTGTTTTCTAAAAAAAAAAAGTTTATGCTTAAAAAAAAAAAGTCTGCCAGTGTGGTCAGAAAAATAATCAAACGTTCACTTAAGTAAATTTTTTTGATCCTATTGGCAATTTCTTTTTTCTTGTTTGAAGCTTAATTTTAATATAATTTTCAGAAAACAAAACTTAGTATCTCAAGTCATTTTGCTTGCATCTTAATTTGAGAATGTTCAGATATTTGCAGTGGAAAACAAGGCAAAAATATTAAATTGGAAAATATATATGTATTTTTTTTTTGCATTGCAGTTAATTTCTTGTATCCTTATATCATGCAAATGTTTACCAGCTTTACAGTCGTGACAGGAGATTGACAAAATGGATAACTTTACATGAACAAAATTACTTTAAAGTGATATTATCATACTAGTTTCTTATTAACTTTTATAATGTCTTTTTCTTTATTTTTTGCATGCTTTATGTGTGTCACAGTCCATTGAAAATCACAGCAGAGTCAGTGGCTCGGTCAGTGCTACTGTGCTTCTGTTTTTGCACTGGCCTGATTATGGACACACAGTCCTCAGCTGAAGTGTTAAGTGGAGTGTACAGGTGGAGAGAGCTGTAGAGATGTAGTGGATGACTCACACACTCAGACGTCACGCTGCACCGCTGAGATGAAGGGCACACTTAGTTTCCTTGAGTTCATGAACGTGTTAGCTAATGCGTCACGTCAAACGTGTCCAGAACTGACCTTTCAGAGCATTGTTCAGAACTGACCATTCAACATGATGAAACAATGCATGTACTGCAGTAAACAAAAGTTGCATTTAGCCCACTGCCAACACAAGGATGTGATGGCCTGTCTGCGTGGGCACGGCGCTGAACCCTCAGCTCTGAATAGCTAGTAATAGACTCATACATTACCCAGACTGATATTTGCATAAGTTGCAAAGTGTTTGTTTAATTTCAGCAATTTTCTTTAAGTCTCATTTGTTTACATTAAACTGTATTATATTATATTTGTATACTGCCTTATAAAAGTTTGGGGTCGGTAAGATTTTTTAATGTCTTTTGCTCACCAAGGCTGTATTTATTTGATTAAAAATACAGTAAACTCAGTAATATTGTGAAATATTATTACAATTTAAAATAACCGTTTTCTAAGTAAATACATTTTAAAATGTAATTTATTTCTGTGATCAAAGCTGAATTTTCAGCATCATTACTCCAGTCTTCAGTGTCACATGATCCTCCAGAAATCATTCTAATATGCTGATTTGCTGCTCAAGAAACATTTCTGATTATTATTAGTGTTGGAAACAGTTGTGCTGCTTCATATTTTGGTGGAAACTGTGATGCATTTTATTTTTCAGGATCCTTTGATGAATAGAAAGTTCAAAAGAAGAGCATTCATTTGAAACAGAATATAATAATAACATTATGAATGTCTTTACTGCCACTTTTGATCAGTGCATCCTTGCTGAATAAAAGTACTAATTTCTTTCAAAAACAAAAATCGTATTGACTATAAACTTTTAAATGGTAGTGTATATTATATTCTTTATATCAGCAATTGTGAAAACTGCTCTATAAATATTGGCTATTAAAAAATCAACTGACTCAACCGATCATCATGCACCGCATGACCACAGAATAATGCAGAACTGCATCATACACTACAGATAATGAGAGATGATGCATTTCTCCTCATATGCTAAACAGTCATTGTGTGTGGCTTATAATAGTGTGGTTTTGAGTGAGCTGCTCCATCACAAAGAGCTACAGTGTGGGTCCGGCAGGGTCTGGAGAAATGATTGTTGTTGTTATGTAACTCATGATGACCTGCGTGTCTAAAGACCTTAAAGATCCTATACGATGTTGTCTGTTTTTTTATGTTTTTGTAAGTCTCTTCTGCTCACTAAGGCTGCATTTATTTGTTAAAAATACAGTAAAATCAGTTAGATTTTGAAATATTATTACAATTTCAAATAAACATTTCTGATTATTATCAATGTTGAAAACAGTTGTGCTGCTAAATATTTTGTGGAAACTGTGATAAATTTTATTTTTCAGGATTCTTTGGTGAATAGAAAGTTTTGGGTGGTTGCCGGGGTGTTGCTATATGTGGTTTCTAGGGCTTTCTGGGTGGCTGCTAGGTGTTTTCTTCCTGTTTGTTCTGAAAAGATGTGCAAATGTGCATCTGTGGGATTTTTTCATCTGTTTTTATCACCATTTCAGATGGCTACTATTTTGTTAGTACATATTTATTGAGATCAAGCAGCTTCATTACTTTAACTACTTCAAATGATCATGTGTCTGCTTAAGTCACACTTTCTTAGCTGACACAAGCCTTTAGACACTTTCACTCACAGGGTCAAGGTGAGGTGAAGCTGAGCTCTGTAAACACTGTAATGACAGATTAGAGTTACGTCAGGGAAGATTCTATACAGGTACTATACTATACAGGTATTCAAGGGCAGGCTTTAAGATGGTTTAGATCCTACCTGTCCGATCGCTACCACTTTGTTCATTTAAATGGGGAGTCGTCTCAATTATCACCAGTAAAATATGGAGTGCCACAAGGATCTGTCCTAGGTCCTCTACTATTTTCAATATACATGTTGCCCCTTGGTAATATTATCAGAAAATACGGGATTAGTTTCCACTGTTATATGATCATATTACCCCAATTTTCTCTGTTCAAAGTCTCTGAACTGGCTACCTATTAAGTTCTGTATCAGTTACAAAATATTATTACTTACCTATAAGGCCCTTAATGGGTTAGCTCCTGTGTACCTAACTAGTCTTCTACCACGCTACAATCCATCACGCTCCCTAAGGTCGCAAAACTCTGGACTTTTGGTAGTACCTAGGATAGCAAAGTCCACTAAAGGAGGTAGAGCTTTTTCGCATTTGGCTCCCAAACTCTGGAATAGCCTTCCTGATAACGTTCGGGGTTCAGACACACTCTCTCCGTTTAAATCTAGATTAAAGACACATCTCTTTGGCCAAGCATTCAAATAATGCATCTCATAATCTTGTACTGCAGTTATATCTGATCAAATGCACATTATTATTCTTTAGCTTGGGTTAAACAAGTACATTTTGCTTGGTTGGAACAGCAGCTATGCTAATTATGTTTCTATTTGTTTCTCTGTTTCTGCTGGAATTGACATCCCGGATGAGAATTGAATTCTCACTTGCCGTGGAGATTTTAAGGTCAAAATTACACACACTCCTTCATCCTTCTGTCTGTTCACACACACTCGTTAAGTTCTCAGTGTCTGCACTGAGGACGGAACAGAAATGCACTGTCTGTTTTATTCAGTTTCTCATATTGTTATAATGTTTTTGACAGGCAGCACAAGCATCTGAACCTATTTCTTTCCCAAACTCGGTCAGACACGAGGCCGATGGGTTTTTCATGAGCGGTGTTCGCTGAAATCATGTCGAATTCATATTTAATGAGCTCAGCAGCATCATCCGAAGATGTAGAATCATCTCAGCACACCCTAAACTCTGTCTGACCTATACTAAAAACCGTGACCCACTTCTTCAACTATCAAAGCAAGTTCATCCACCTGAAGAAACAGAGGAGACTAGCCACTCTGCTGACACAATAACTCTCCTTTAAATGCAGGAAACTTCCCCGTGTTTTTGTTAGCATTCACTAAAATGCAGAAGTATGTTTATTTAACACACTTCCTCCTGTCTGATGATCACACAGGAAGGTTGATTATTTCGTTGTTTTTTTTTATGACCTTTCTCTCCATGCATATATGACACATATGAAGAACTGTAATGCACAAGCCACAGCGTAAATCTCCCAGCATCCATTACAAACCAGAGGAATTCCACAACCACATCCAAAATGAGACAAAGATGGCTGTTTTCCATCTGCTCTAATGGCTTTTGGGTGGAGCAGTGAATAAACAATCCAGCTCTTTCTTCATGACTCTCCATGATTCATGCAATCCAAGCTCTCTCTCTGTTTCTCTGTCCCTGATCACTTTCCTATCATAACAAAATTCATGTGATATAAACTTTAATTTTCCTGCTTTTGCAGAAAACTATGGCAGCCCTGAAGTGCAAAACAAAATCAACCAACAAATCAGAAAACACATCAATCCGACAGAACTTGCATCAGTCAGGTGAGCACCTATGTTTACCTTTTTCAGTTGAACATGAAGTTCTGCATTTCCAGTGTTCTGAAATGGAGCACTAGTTCACTGAGTATTTGTCACGTTGCACACACACGAGGGATGAGGAGACGCTGGAGAATATATTGACAGGACTTTCACTGTATACTGTATGCCAACTACTTTTTTTTTTTAATTGCATGTGATGCAGTATGCAACAGTAACCCAACATACTACATTAGTAGTACACTATCACTAGTGCATATGTAGTACACTAGTATACTATGTTGTCATATGACCTCAATTCAGTTACTATCTCAGATATGACAACTATTATTTAGATTTTTTGTAAACTTTATGAAATTTCTGAACTAATTAAGTCCAGAAAATACGTAAAAACAACAACAACTTTTCATTCACCACACTATAAATACAAGGTTAAGTCAAGTGCAATGCATTATGGGATGTATGGACATGCACATTTTTGCAAATGTAGCTGGTCATTCAGATATTCCATGAATACTGAAAATGTGCATATTTGCACTGTATACTACTGCATAATGCTTACTGAACAAATAGTATGAATAAAATGATTGGTGTGATAGTAACAATATCAGTGGGTAATCTAAGTCTAACTGTCTTAATCTAAGTCTTTAAGTGTACAATTTGCAGCAAATGTAGTATGTCATCTGTGTATTCGATGCATGCATAAAATGTGCATACTATGCTGAAGAAATGCATGTTGGCATGCAGTTTTTAAGAGCAGAACAGAAATGTGCAAACAATTTCTTGCATATTTTAATGTCCAGCTGGAGAGATGGACTAAAATAGTTCTACATTTGCATATGAGATGATGCACCAGCACTTTCAGTGGTTTGATTGGAGACTGGTGTTAATTTTAGCCAGTCAAATGCAGTCTCAATCTGGATAACATGTGCTGTCTGACCTTGATTTGTCCATGATAATGTGTGTGTGTGTGTCTCTTTTCTAACCTCCTTTCACACACACAGACACACAGACACACGCTGTGAAGGTGTGAGGTCAGCTGACACGTGCTGCAGTCTGTCATTGATGTCTGATGCTGCTGTTCACGTGACACACAGACAGAACACAGACAGATGATGCAGAACAATTGAACGAGAGCTATCTCTCTCTCTCTCTCTCTCTCTCTCTCTCTCTATCTATCTGTCTATCAGTCTGTCTGGTCAGCTGTAGGTCAGTGGAGGCGTGGCCATGTGCTGTGCTCTGATTGGCTGTAAAGTGGGCGATGGCAATCAGACAGATGGACAGCTGGCAGTGCTGATGCTGACCGTCTGTCTCATCTACTGACACAGACAGATCATGGTGGTCTTTCAGAGTGATGACAGGACAGTTACACAAGACCACCTTCATTTGATTACCAGCACAGACACACACACACACACACACACACACACACACACACAGTCACACACACATCAATTAGTACCAATTTAGTGTAAAAAGCTCAAACCGCACAGTAATGCTTGAGGCTTTACACAGATCACACACAGTGATATAATGCATAACAAGATTAACTCAAGCCACTAAATCATATTAGATAACATGCAGAAAGGTGTGTGCGCTGAACATATTTACTCCACCTGAATTATTAAGCATCGTTGTGACTGATCGTTTTGATCAATCGTTCACAATGAAAGCAGGAACATGAATCAAGGAAAGTAAAAATGTCATTTTTGACTGTAGTAATGCTTACAGATGCCATAGAGATACAAATCTAATGACTTCTTATTTATGACCTGTTTTACCAGGAGCTTTTATAAGATTAGCTGACGATGTCTTTTTCCTGTTGGCGTTTTACTCACTCATGACTAATCTCAGATCATTTTGTTTTAATGTGTGTAAAAATAGACTGAGAATATGAGCTTCTGACTGTCTGAAGGCTTCTCACATCTTACTAATGAGAGCCTGACACTTCAACTGCACATAAATTAGTTTATCTAATGCAATTATAGATAAAAAAAAATAAAAATAATAATAATGCTTTTATTCAGTAAGGATGCATTTAATTGTTAAAAAGTACAGTAAAGTCATTTATAATGTTACAAATGATTTCTATTTCAAATAAATGTGGTTCTTTTGAACTTTCTATTCATCAAAGAATCCTGAAAAATAAAATGGATCACGGTTTCCACAAAAATATCGGGCAGCTCAACTGTTTTCAACATTGATAATAATCAGAAATGTTTCTTGAGCAGCAAATCAGCATATTAGAATGATTTCTGAAGATCATGTGACACTGAAGACTGGAGTAATGATGCTGAAAATTCAGCTTTGATCACAGAAATAAAATACATTTTAACAGATATTCACATAGGAAACAGTGATTTTAAATTGTAATAATATTTCACAATATATCTTTTTTTACTGTATTTTCAAAAAATTTATTTCTGATGAGATTTGTGATCGTAAACACTCCACTTCTGTTGGGTTTTGACTGCGTTATAATTGAGTTAGAGACAGAAGCTGAGCACTCTCACCAAAGTCACCTCCTGGATATAAAAAGCTCTTGTATGACTGTGTGAGTGTGACATTTGTGTTGATTTATCACTGTCACAAGGTGATAATATAGAGCATTTCATGGCTGAAAGCAGCAGGGATCTCAAATCCTTCTTCACACACAGCAGACGTTCTAAACTGCACACACTTTCACATAATGACAGATGCTTGTACAAATGAAACATCAGATTTATGTTGTAATAATTGTCACAGTGCTAAGGTGTTGTGGGTCGTTGTGTTCTGAGGAGAAGCATGCATTTAGACACATGAGAAGGACGTCATGTTCGGTTTTCTCTCCAGAGCTGTTTCTATCTATGGGAAATGCCAAAGTCTGTTTGCAAACAAATGTCTGTACGCTGGACTGCAGGTGGTTCATTATTGAAATGCTGACAGCACTAGGTTTGGGGGTGGATGGTGCTCATGTGACTATGAGAATTTAAACTGGGGCAAATGTTTTTCTTAACAACTGCTTCTATATTTATATCATAATTTCTTTGATCATTGAATATTGTAGTACATTAATTATGTAAATGTACTGTTTAACAAAGATTACACAATTGGTTCATGCCACTTTACAATGTAAAACAGTTTGAAGTTACTTTGCACTGCTTAAAAAATGTTCAATTCAATTCAAGTTTATTTGTATAGCGCTTTTCACTACGCCTTGAAGTAAAATATATTATTTGTATAGTGAACATTTTTACTTTGTGGCCAAGAAAAAAGCCATTAAAGTCATTTCCACATAGTTTACACATAGATTCATTGTGTCTGTGTTAACATACTGGTACAGTAATATGAAGTGAACCAGCTGAGGACCGTCTCAGAGAGTCATAGCCAGTTTTCCAGTCTGTCGCTGGCTGTGGGCTCTGAACGATTGCTGAACCTGCTCCTCAGATGTTTCCTGCTGTTCAACAGCCAAACCTTTATTGCATAATTCTGTGCTTTAGCCTGCTTTCCTGTTGGCATTAGTGAATGACTATATAAAGTGTTTTTCCTAAGTGTTCATTGATTAGATAAGAATCCAGAAAATCCACACCTTGCAAACTTCAGTGTAAGATATTGCTATGAACAAACTGAACATGGACGACGGATTGAAGCTCACCTGACGCGCCACTCTCCTGGCCTCCCAGTACGGTTTGGAGTCTTCTACGGCTTTACCGATCTTCTTGACCTGCTCGTCCAGCTTGACCGTGGCCTCCACTAGGACGGCACGAAACTTCTGTCGGGAGTCCTACATAACAGTGACCTTTTGGGGTGAGTAAATCTAAAATCAAATGCACATATACTCAAGTATATCAAACAAAAGTCGGTTACACTGTATCTCGATGGCACAAACCTCACAAATTTGTCAAATTTAATGTGCAGTTCTTTAGTTCAAGATGTAGATGAGTTTGTTTCTTCATCAGATTTGGAGAAATGTAGCATTGCATCAGTGTCTCAGCAATGGATGCTCTGCAGTGAATGGGTGCCGTCAGATTGAGAGTCCAAACAGCTGATAAAAACATCACAATAATCCACAAGCAATCCACACCACTCCAGTCCATCAGTTAACATCTTGTGAAGTGAAAAACTGTGTTTGTAAGAAACAAAATCTGTTTTAAATAATTGTTTACAGCCAGAGTCCATAATCCATAATAACGCTTCCCCAAGTGAAAAAGTCCATCTCCTGTTGTCTCTCACATCAAAATATTAGCTTAGAGCTGTTTTGATTTGTAAACGGTGCTTGATCTGTGCAGATTTCTCTCCTGATTCAGATTTTAACCGGAAGCAACTGTTTGAAGTTAAAAAACACCTTAATGATGGATTTGTTTCTTACAAACACAGTTTTTTCGCTTCACAAGACATTAACTGATGGACTGGAGTGGCGTGGATTACTTGTGGATTATTGTGATGTTTTTATCAGCTGTTTGGACTCTCATTCTGACGGCACCCATTCACTGCAGAGCATCCACTGGTGAACAAGTGATGCAATGCTACATTTCTCCAAATCTGATGAAGAAACAAACTCATCTACATCTTAGATGGACTGAAGGTGAGTACATTTTCAGCTAGTGTTCATTTTTGGCTGAACTATTACTTAAACACAACTTTGTTCCCTAATGAAGTGCATTCACCCTCCTAAGGCCCATTCAGATGTTAAAATTGCATTTTTGTGTGCAATGTGCATCAGTGAACAGTGCTGTCTAAGGCTCACACTATTTCCATGGACATCATAGTATTGTGATGCATTATGGATAATATATTTAATTCAACTGTATGAACTACTGAATAAAAGACAGTGACAGATGAATACTTGTCTTTGTGTTGACAGACATTACAGTGCATGCAGTCTGTGAAATCTGAATAAATCTCAGTTCATTGAAAGGCTCATCATATCCAGGCAGCGTGAACTGCATGCTCAGGAATCTCTGAATTATGAGCGTCCATCTTTCAGTTTCACAGCACTGTCTGAAACGCTTCAATAATCAGCCTTTTGTAGCTCTCTGAAAAGCACTGCTTCAGCTAACTCAATTCAGCATTTAACACAGTTGAGAAAGAATCCACACCCTGCTTTCTAAACAGAAAACTCCCTCTCACGCTAAAGAGACCATCACGTTTGTTGCATAAGATAAGCAGAGGGCAAGTGTGTGTGTATATGGTGTCCAGCTCTGAATGAATCTGTCATCGGGTGGGTTCGGTCGCTCAGATGACATATTTAAAAACACTGACATCTACATCCTTCCACACAGGACCTCAATGACAAAAAGCACGTCAGAGGGATTTAGACTTCCTCTGACAGAATGACACTTCCTGGTTCATTCTGCTGAATAACCACAGGCCAAATAGAGTCAAATACAGAGAACTGTGGATGAGTATTTTATAAAACAATCTGACAAGGAACAAATAGTCCTGAATCTGAAATTAAGAGGACTTTAAAAACACATATGTCCAAATTCTAGGGTTACTGAAACTAAAACTATTGAAAACATTTTTTGTTAACTGAAATGAGGCTTAAATAAAATTAGATGAATAACTAACCAAACCAAAATTAGAAATTTTGCCTTGGCAGCAGTGTTATTTTAATATAATTGAGATACTGTTATAGTTTTTAATAATATTTTAATTTAGTTTATTTTTATATTTTCAGTTGTCATTTTAATTTTAGTTTAAGTTTTGGTGATTTTTATCATTTTTTTTAAACGTCTTTATATTTGTATTCATTTTTAGTTATTTTAGTGCATCAAGTTAAACTACACAAAGATGAGAAATGTTATATTGGTAACTAGCTGAAATAAAAAATTTTAATTATAAAGTTTAATCTTGTTATTTCAAGTAACAACAATTTCAGTTTCAGTTTTAGTTTTAGTTAACTATAATAACCCTGCTTGACAGCTAAGTAAAATGGGTTTGGTTGAGGCACTAAAATTATTAACTGGAAATAAATAAAAACTAAAATTGAAATAAAAAACAAAAAATATAATACAAATTAATTAAAACAAAAATAGTATAATAAAAAAAAAAATGACAAAGCACATAAAGTATACTATAATAGCATATCAATAATAATAAATTAACACATTTACATTACACACTCTACATTAGTTGAGATTAATTCCTGTTCACAAGTGTTTTACAAAATAAGATCTGATGATCACAGATATATATGGTCACACTTTATTTTAAGGTCCAGTTCTTGCTATTAACAAACCATTAACTATGACTTTTGCCTCAAACTCCTAATGTGCTGCTTATTAATAATTAGTAAGGTAGGTGTTAGGTTTAGGTATTGGGTAGGATTAGGGATGTAGAATATAGTCAAGCAGAATATGTAATAATAATAACAGGCATGCTAACAAACAACTTTAATAGTGAGAATTAGTCCCTACTAAAGTGTTACCATACACTCTAAAAAATGCTGGGTTAAAAAGGGACAAACCCAGCTATTAACAACCCAACCGCTGGGTCAAAACAACCCAATAGCTGGGTTTGTCCCTTTTTAACCCAGCATTTTTTAGTGTATACATGGCAAATTTTACAACAATGTAGATATAGATTATCACTGTGCTTTGATAATTATTATTGCTGACACTAACACAAAGTTTTCTTTTTTTGTAGGTAGTAACATGATATTCTCTGAAATACTTTACTTTTTATACCATGGTATTATCATCGACACCAGCCATTTACCATGGTAACATCTCAGTGCTTTTTCTAAGGAAATCATAAATCAGCTGAAATAAAACATGGAAATGAACGTTTCTGATGCCAATTTAGCAACTGGCAATTACTTCTGTGTGTTTCTCTTCTGGAAGAAAGTCATCTGGGTTTGGAATGACAAACATTTTCCTAAACTACTCCTTTAGCTGTCGTGGCCTGTGGCTTTCAAGGCAGGAATTCCAGACTCGGATAGAAGAGATTTCCTCTGTCTGCTGCTCAACAGATATAAAGTGTGTCAGTCACATGCAAGAAACTTCCTATTGGTCAGTGGCAGAAGGGGGGAGGGTCTGAGCGTTTAGACATTTTCCACTTTGGAATTCCGCCCGCAACCATTTTCAGTGAAAACAGTGACACCATAAAGCATGCATGTGAACCTTACCTCCAGTTCGGTCTCCCATCTGTTGATGTTATCTGTCGACTGATTCAGTTTCTCCAGTTCACCCTGTAGAAGAGATAAAGCGAGGCAGAAGGGAGTTAAGATCGCAGTAAGTTGTCTCTTGCAATGCCAGCAGGCCGACAACATCTGGAAAGTGTTATTCAAGTAACCCAACACTGAGATTAAGCTCATATGTGCTTTTCCTGCAATGTTAGCTACACGCTGATGACACACAGATGTTGTTTTCATTACAACATCATGCGTTTATTTTCTTTCATGGGTGGAGGATGAAAAACCAGTTCAGCTAGCACAACTAGCACACAGTCTAACACAGAAAGGTTCTTCACTTTCAAGAGAAAAGCATACACTCTAAAAAATGCTGGGTTATATTTAGCCCAGCATTTTTTAGAGTGTAGATATAGGCTACATACAAATGTACATACATTTTACACTTTAGGTGTTTTCTAGTGAATGCATCGCATCGTATTATTCTTACACTTTGTAAAAAGGACTGTGCACGTGAGCTTAACTCTTTCCTTTACAGAGGAAAATGAGTTCTAAATATGACATCAAAGTAAACATGATTGTCAACGCGGTTCCTCAGTGTAGCAAACAATGAAACAATGTAACAGAATATAACAGCTGATGAAACGATGGGGTTCCCCTCATCAGATCAAACAGCAGCTGCTGAACTGTTTGAACAAACAGAACATTATCTGATCGGATTATTAATGCAATCCAATTGCATTGGATTTTTTAATTTTTATTAATGCAATCCAATTGCATTGGACTTTAATCCAATCGGAGTTTGATGGCTCGGTCTATCTTCAGTTCTAGTTTCGGGAAGGTATATATATAGCTTATAACAACATACATATCCATAGCCTATATCTTAACACAACCTTCAGTCGGGTTTCGCTCTAATCCGGTTTAAATGGTTCTGCCGATGTGAATTCTGGATTGTGTTGCTCTGTACCTGAATCCTCGGGTCAACCTCCTCTTCCTCCAGGGATACCGAGTCTTCATCAGATTTGTTATCTTTCTCCGTGTCGTTCATTTCGATAGCAGACGTGATTCGTCTATTTGGCTACTGGTCGAACAAAGCGGGTCTCTGTCCGGGAGAACGGGCTCAGATGATCCGCGCTCACTCCATTAGTAGGTACAGCCAGAAAACGCGATTAAAAGAAAAGGGTACGATCTTTCCTCATATCCAAAAGATAGGCTACTTAATCTGCCAAGACACAAAAACTCACACAAAACACCGGCAGACTCGAGAATGAGAAGCGGCTGGAGCTCTGAGATCTTGCCCGCCCCCTCCGGTACAAACACTCGCTGTCCTGCACGAGGGTCACTGCAGTTCACATGCACACACTGATACACTGAAGCAGTCTTATTTTAGTATTATCTATATAATAGAACATTATTTATTCATATTTTGAATTAGGTATTTTCAGTTGTCATTTTAGTTTTAATTTACATGCATTTTACATTATATTTTAGGTTCATTTTTTGTACTTCAACTTATTTTATCTAAATTAATTGCCAAGGCAACATACCTCCTTTTTATTCAAATATTTATTTTACATATATATATATATATATACATACACACACTGAACAAAATTATAAACGCAACACTTTTGTTTTTGCCCCCATTTTTCATGAGCTGATCTCAAAGATCTAAGACTTTTTCTATGTACACAAAAGGCCTATTTCTCTCAAATATTGTTCACAAATCTGTCTAAATCTGTGTTAGTGAGCACTTCTCCTTTGCCGAGATAATCCATCCACCTCACAGGTGTGGCATATCAAGATGCTGATTAGACAGCATGATTATTGCACAGGTGTGCCTTAGGCTGGCCACAATAAAAGGCCACTCTAAAATGTGCAGTTTTACTGTATTGGGGGGTCAAAAGTGACGTCAAAAACAAAAGTGTTGCGTTTATAATTTTGTTCAGTGTATATATATATATTTAGCACATTTTCTTTTTATTAAATAGAGAATTTAAATAGGCATATTTAAAGGCATATGTTGTGTTATATGTTAATCAAAATGCTTTTTAGCACTTTATCATATATTCTGTCAAAAATAACATTTTTAAAATACCAATTTACTTTTTAGTTTGCTTTTTCAACCTTGTCAGAGACATAAAAAAATATTGAAGACACTAAAGGCGCTAAACTGTGAGTTTTTTTTTTTACTCTAAAATCCCAATGATTCATAAATATTTATAACTCTCATTCTGTGTATGTTAGCACATATAGGTGATGAATGTCTTTGCTGTTTTCTTTTCAATCAGTTTGCAAAATACTAAACAAGCATAGGTTTTCCTGGTTCAATCCAGTTTGCTCTTATTTGATGTCAAAACAAAAAAGTCTGTGTCAAACATAAACACAGACACACTGATGCTCAAAATAAAGTTCAATTATTAGTAACACTCTGCTTTTCAGGAGCCTGTTTACAGTTCATATAATATAAAACCCTTTTACTTTAGTCCTAAAAATTTATTATATTAAAACAATAAAAACAATATTTCTTCTATAGATCAGATAAATAAAGAGATGAGTAGATGAAGAACAAACATCAGTTTGTATTGTGACATAAAGTGTTTTATCAGGTTTATCAGTTTCCAAATGAGCATACTGACCTGCTTTAGTCAGAGAAAAAATACCAAAAACTAGACTAATGGCGCACTCCAGAGGAATAGAATAGATATACAACTGAAATCTTTTCATGTGGAAAATGAGTTCTAACCATGCAGTCTATTGTTCTTCTAACTATTAACTTTAAGTCTCTGTTGGGTGTAACCCAGCAAAATGTAATGTCTATGATATAATATAGAACATAGAATAGAATATTCGTTACAAAACGATTTTTATTACATTTAAATGTATATTTTTAATTATTATTATGTTGCTCTAATAATTCATATTTACATATGCATATATATAATTTAAATTTTATTAATATATATATATTTCAAGCTTTTAAATTTAAATTAGATTAAATAATTATTATTTTAGTGTTTGTATTATGTCGTTGTTGCTGCTTCGGCTGCTGCTGTTGTTAAGAATAATTCATATCTACTATATAAGATCAAAATGAGATGGCATTTATTATGATTATTGATATATTTGGAAAATATTCAGTAGGTGTGCCGTGTAAACATTTGGGGGAACGGCTGTCTCTTTAGAGATGGTCCTTTGTGAAGCTGATAACGATGGGCGCATGTGTTGTCATGTGACGTCACTCTGCCCGAGGACAGGCGTTGTTTTCCGCACAGGAGGCTGAAGCGGGTCCGGTCCTGCAGGTCCAGATCAGGAACACTCAGCTACAGGCCGATATGAGGCAGTGAGAGCGCAGCAGAAGCAGAACCAGAACCGGAATCATCTGCGATCACCATGACGACGCAGCCTTAGTGCTCAGCATCCGCATCCTCAGCATCCTCAGCATCATCCGCGGCTCAGGTGCGCCGTCAGTCCGTCAGGCAGGATGGAGTTCAAAGAGCTGGTGGACACCGCCGAGAAATGGTGCTCCGGGAATCCGTTTGACCTGATCTTCGCCGAGGACGTGGACGAGAGGAGGCTGGACTTCTACGCCGAGCCCGGGATCTCGTTCTACGTGCTCTGCCCGGACAATCTCACCGGAGGAACCGATAATTTTGTAAGTATGACATAATCGAGCAAGAGCCTCGGGAGGAGGGGGAGCTGCGTGCGCGGCCGTGTGTGAATGCTCTCTCGTCTCAATTACAGAAAGTACTGTGGGTTTTGGATATGCTACTATGGTATTAGCACGGTTATTAGACACAGGGTAGAACCGTGTAAAATAAATTTCAAATATATGCTAAAAATGGCTTGTAAACAGTGAAGCTCAATAAAAAATATTTTTGAAATTGAAAATATATGTAGTTTCAGCCTTCATATACCAAAACATATTTCAAAATGTACTTCAAGGGCAAGAAAATACAGTGAAAATTTCAATAGCGTTCTTCAAAAGTGACCCATGTGAATATATTTGAGACCCTCTCTGTGAAATCCAGGCTAAAGTCTCAAAATCTAATTATGAGATAACAAGCATCAAGGTTTGATTTCAACCATTCATTTCACTATGATTTCAATCTTTGACATTCAATCTTGTACTCAGTCGATATTAAAGATATCAAGGGTACATTTTCACAGAATGTTCTTTACCTTATGAAGGATGATTTTATGTAGAAAACAGTAAATCACAAAAAAATGCCAGGGTCTCTCTCTCTCTCTCCCTCACACACACACACACACACATATTAGTACTTAAAGTGTACATATTAGAACCTAATAGGTAGAAAAGTGTACCTTTTGAAAGGGTACCGCCCCAGTGACAGCTTTTGTACCTTTATTTCTGAGAGTGTGGTATATATTGAATACTATCACTGTAAACTGGTATTGCTGAAATACTTTTTTATTTTTGAGGCCTTTATCTCAAAACAGATGAAATTATGTCATTGTTTTTGTCTCAGCACTTTCTCCATACATGCTCAGCTGGAGTTTTGGATGTTGTGAGGTTGTATGCTACGATTTAATTTTAGAAGTCTATCCAGTGTATAGACCGATGCATATATCCTGGTCAGAAAAGCATGGGTCATTATTGCAGGTGTTTAATCAGCACAAAGGTCTTAAGCCGCACAGTTCCCCAGACACTGTCACCGAGGAACAAATAGTGCTGTGTTTTGTGCTGTGATGAAGTAAAAACACATGCAGTATTTGCATTGATGCTCCTCTTGCACATGTCTGTCATGTTTGCTTTCCATTCAGCAATCAGTTTAAAGGTTTAAAATGAACCACAAGAGTTTACTGTAGTTCCCTCACATCACAAGACCGCTGCACCAGAGTCCCAGAGCTCACAAAAATATCAGCGCATGCACCGGCAGGACAGGGATCTAATTACTCGCGCTGATCAATACACAGTTCAGCAGGATCACAGAGCTAGAGAGAGCAAGAGATTGTACTTTATTAATAGGTAAAATTACAGTGAATCCAAAAAAGAAAAAAAAAATGAGAGCACTTTCAAAATCTGTGATTGTTGTGCATTTAAACCTAGAATTTAACAGGATTTTGAACATTTTAAAATAAATAAACATGATGTAAAATCAGCAAGAAATATTTCTACTTGTGCAGGTCACTAATGCAATAAGTAATTTTTCAGTGCAAATTTTCACTCAGATTGTCATGTTGATAATATGTAGGCCTAATGAAATTCTAGAAAAGTAAAATTAAGCATTTTTGCTAGACTTGGTGTAGAAACAATTTTCACTCAGAAATTGCTAATAAATTATTACAAAGAAACAGCAAGTATTGGATTGAATTAAAATTTTGAAGTAGAAGGAATGAAATAGTTTTTTATTGTAAAACATGCTCTAATATACTGTACATACAAAGTTCTGGAATGAAACTCTAGATGTTGCTCTCCAATAGATCTAACTCAATATGACATAATGACATCATTATCTCATGTCACAGCTGATTGGTTCTCTCCTGTATCAGTGGCCAATGAGCTCGCTGCTCAACATTCAAATACTATGCTAGTGTTTGCTGTAGCAGTAGCAGCGCACTTCAGAAACCCTCCACGTTCCCCAGCTCCACCTGTATAGATCTGCTACGGGGTGATCATGTATGCTAGGAGTGTTATTCATATATGTTATAAGTGCAGCAGCAATATTACATGCTCACAGCAGCATGTTGTGGATGTATTGGCAGTAGCAAATCTCGGTACTTGCTCTGCCGCAGCAGCAGCAGCAGCGTAGCAAATCTATTCCGCCAAGACCAAATACATTAACATTGTCATGTACGTTACCATGCCAATCCCTCCGAGAGTTGTCATGACAGAAATATATTTTATTTACAACTTCAAAGAATGTTATTACACTGCATATAAAAGTGCCATGCAGGTGATTGGATAATGTTAACCAATATCCAAATAGCTGTTTAGACATTATTTTAGCAAGCTTGCATTCAGTCTAGCTTTCTTGTAAACCCACTTTTCACAGTCAATTTCACTGAATTCTGATTGAATAATCTGTTCACTTGGAAATATGTTGGATTATACTGTAAGTATAAAGGGTTGTGAATGGCCACTAATGTTGACTTTAAAATAAAATTATGATTATAAGAATGATGCTCTAGCAAAACTACTCATAACTAACTAATACAACTGAGTTGAATTGGAGCTCCTCTGGTTTGGCCTGCGGTGTTTTTTCCTCCTGGTTCCTGTGAGCTCTGGACAGATGCATAATCAGTCTGTCTCTCTGAAATCAGTAAAAGAAAGTTTTCATTACAGTGCTTCATGCATTTGCTCACAACACAGCTTGCGCGGATATCTCTGGAGAAAGACAGAATGTGTAGACAAACATTCATTCACCATGTGTTGATGTTCCCTGCTGAAACAGGAAGTTGGGCTGGGACATAACAATATTAATAACCTTTTGTTGAGCATTAGAATTCGGCCGAATTTTACATCTGTATATTCATTGAATTTTAGTTTTTCTAGTACACATGCATGTAGATGATAGCCATAAAATCACATGCACAAACAGCTGCAAAACTTCATTTTTGGTTTCATGAGTTTTAAGATCATCTTATATTTCCCTGTGAGGTCCAGAGGAACCAGAAGGACTGAAATATCAGCACTGTTTGCCATGCATCTTGAACAGGGAGCTCCAGAGATGGATGATGTGCTGTGCATGTCCTTGTTCTCAAAAAAGCTGCCAAAATCCAAAAAGTGCATTTTTAGAGAGCATTTAGAGTGGCACACATGCACTAAAACAGTCCTTATATCATTGTGCATTAAATGCACAGCATTCAGCAAATGAAACATTTATCTCTGTAATTTATAACAGTACGAACATCAGCTTTTATTGTTATTGGTCTCTTCAAATTGCAATAAAAAGCAGATAACAAACAGGAAATGTAATGTATTACACATCTATTTAATAAAACCATAAGGTGTTACACACACTGGAATGGTATAAACTTATTTTTATTAGAATTCTCTGTTCTATTGTATTCTATTCTATTCCCTCATTAATAATTTTTCTCAAATGCAGTTTGGTAAGAGAAGATTATTCGGGCCATCTACTGAAAAGTGGTCCCTCTCGCTCAGATAAATATAACGGAACAAAGAGTTTTAGTGTCCCAGATTCTCTTGGCCGAATACCTCAAGAGTGTAACGGAAATGTTACGCCCCTTGCCATATTGTGATGCCGTGTCCCGGCGCGATGACGACAAGACAAAAACAATAAAACCCATTATAAACGAGGCATTTGTTGCATCCAGTGGGGACATAATTACGGATTATAATGACTTATACTGTCTTTTTAAACGTTGCATCGCGCCGCGTAAACATAAAACCATGTCTGCATTTGTGATCGGAGAAACGACAAACAACAAGTGCTACTCTACACTGCTCAAAACTCACGTTTGAATCGTCAGTGGCAAATCCTTTAAATATGAAAACGTACTTACAGGCTGTGAGTCAGCATTATTTGTCAGAACACCGGCATTGTAGGCTATTCTCCCAGGAAACAGTCCTTGTTCTCCGTAAAATGCGCTGCACACATCTGAATAGGGCCTATTTGGTTTGAACTGTTCTGGAACAGTTGTAACACTCTAAAAATGAGTGAGGTTACATCAATAAAGAGAAAAACAGTTCAGTCATTTTCTAATGCAAAAAGAGGTGTATTGTACCAACACCCAGAATATATACATCTCCCTCATCAACCATATGAACAAAGTCCACCGGTTCGTAATTAAAATAGTCCCCATAATATTTGCACAAACAGCTGAATCGCGTATCTCTTACCACAAATTTGGTTAGTCCCAGACAAACATAAATTCACTGACATAAATTCAATATTAATATGTAGCGGTGCTACATAGTGTTGTAAATAAAACTTAACCACTGATGTCTAGTCGTGTCCTCTTTTGGAAGACCAAACAAAGTAGTTTCACTTTCACAACGAAACACACAGTATCTTAACGACATGGCGGCGGCAACAATACTACAGCGAGAATAAAAGTTACTCCTTCTTTCTTTGCGTGAACATTTGGGCAGT